CTGCCATGCACTGCACTATAACGTGACCAGGGGTTTTATCATTAGAGGTTTTCCAGTGTTGGGATGACCAGTTACTTTTTAACCCCGAACAGCAGGATTTATCATTGTGACCTCAAGCGAGCTTCACAGCTTCTGTTTAAATGTCTTTGTTACCCAATGGGAATTAGCTCAGTAGTAAATATTAGATTCAGGTTGTTCTAGTTTCACAAAGCATCTTGTTTCAAGTGGCATCAAGGTAATCACAAATAGCTTGAAGGAGAGGGGGATATTCTCAGCACAAAGATGTAAAGCTTAGGAAACATTTAGATAAAGTATTTGGCTAAAGGCACTTGTACATGGAACTAACTGGAAGCATATATTTGGAAGCCTAAAGAGCTGAAGTATGTTGCCAAAGAAACCATAATCCTGGCTTGCAAAAGTCTATGTCTTTTAAACCCCTCCCCCCAAAAAAGGACAAATCTGCACTAGGACAAATTTGGGCAGATCTTATCAGAGCATACTCTTCAGTGGCAACTACAGAAATGGACACAGAAAGCAATGAACAAGCAGCGGCAACTGAGATTGCAGATGGTGTTAGTAGCTGCCAAAGAACAATTCTTCACAAATTCTGCCAAGCAGAATTTGATAACACTCTAGAACAGTGACTGTTATGTGTTCCTCATTCTTTCAGTTTTCTGAGTAAAGAATTTAATGCAATTACTCTGCTCATACTCCTTTTTTTTGTAAATTAAGCATAATGGGAAGTAGATAAATCCATTTGTTGAAGTAGAGGTCACCATAACATTACGGAGCCACATCTGGACCTGATGGAATGGAATGTTCCTCATCCAGAGATTGTGAATGGACCTTGAACTGGATGGAGAACATGGATAGGATGTTGGGATGTCTTCCTAGAATGTGTGTGTGTGTGTGTGTGTGTGTTGAGGATGTTTTATATATGAAAACAAAGGTACTTTTGTGTTTATGGGGGTTGGCTGAGGAAGAATTTTCCTTTTGAAATAAAATACTTGTCAGCTAGAGATTACATTCAAGTGTGGCCATGTGAATACATTCTTGTCAATAACAGGTGAAGGGAAGGTATGTATGCAAATTATAGGACATGTCTGAAAAGGAAGCTGCTTACTCTCCATTCTCTTTTTCTCTTTTCCTGATATCAGAAACAGGCACGGTGGTGTGAATGAAGTGACATCCTAGTAAATGGTGAACACTACATAGAAAGGTCCTGAATGGCTAGATTACCCTGTGAGTATTACCTTATTACTTGAGAGAACAATGAACTTTTATCTTCTCCAAATCTCTGTGCTTTCAGATCTTCTTATTAACAGTAGTATCTTTTACTAATCCCAGAGAAGATAAATATGAGATTTACAATTTAAGATGCTACCTCTGACTGTGGACTGGGTGACAGACTAGAAGGAAATAGAGAGTCCAATTAGACATCTAGAAATAGCCCTTGTGAGAAATGATGATATAAAAATATAACACAATGACAACAGCAATGAAGATGAAGAGAGTGTTTTGACAGATATTGGAGAAGTAAAAGTGACCAGACATTTTTAACTAATTAAACATGGAAGTTGAGAAATGGAGAAAGTTTTAGATGAGTTCAAAAATTTTCAGTAAATGCCTACCATTTGCCAGGCATTTGGTTATTTGCTGTGTGAAAAAAAAAAAAAAAAAAACCTTCATTGAAGACATTTATAATTTTGTTTATAAGATAAGAACAAATGCACACACATATGTATGAAAAAATTAAATCAGCATTTGCTTAATTACAAGAGTCAAAGACAGTCTAGAAAGGCTATCAGCTTTCAGCAGAGAAATTCATTATAGGAGACTTCATAAAGAATGTTCAACTTAAGCTATTGCTAAAATGATGAATCAAATTAAGATAGAAAAGAGAATAGATGGAAAAGATAAGCTAGCTGTGTTACTAGTGGTTAATATTAGCTATTTCAAAAGTCCCAGTTTGAAAATTTGTATTTAAATTGTCATAGAGATTGCCCATTTTTCAATCCATGAGATATTTCTTTTGAATAGTTTGGTAAAGTTAAAGAAAATGCTGTTATTCTAATTAATACACACATATCCCATGTCTAAATATCCAGATTCCCATATTTTACCAACTGTATAGGTTAAAAAGTAAATTATGTAATAGATATGATGGGTTTAGGTTTATTTTAAGATTTGGCATGATATTTCCCATGGTGTGGATCATCATCAAAGATTTCTAAAGATTAAACTGTTGTTATGTTTTCTTTATTCTGATTTAATAAGGATCATGAAATCCTTACATTGTATTTTAGGCACATAATAATGTATATCATTTATTGAATGATATTGCAGGTCCTGTTTGAATAACTTCATGTGTATTCACTCATTTAATAGAGAAACATGGAAAAAAGAAAGGAAGGAAGGAAGTTAGGAGGGAAGGAAAGAAAGAAGGAAGAGAGAGAGGTAGGGAAGGGAGGGAGGGAAGGAGATCAGTAAAAGTGCATTTTATAAGACTAAGTGTTTTTTTTTTAATTTTCTAAAAGTTGAGGATGACTGTATTCTTCGATGTTTGTAAATACTTACACAATTGATATTGCTGAAATGTGTATTCTGAAATGCTACGAAGAGAGGAACGTATTTATTATGTTCCGTAATATTTTTAAATCATCTTTCCCATGGCTGCTTCCTCTAAGTCCCTCCTACTTTGCAGATGACCCAGTCTCTTAATAATCCCCCTTTCAAACTCCACAAATTTATCTGTAGTTTGTATGTATTCACCTTCTACTTTTCCTTTCTCTCTCTACTTTTCATTCTATTTTTCTCTCTCCTGCCAGTTATATTCTGCCCATAAAATGTAAAATCCTTCTACATCTGCACTTCTCTAATTCAACCATTCCCCACCCCCCTTAACACTACTCCGCAACCCCAGCCATAATTTACTATCCCAAATGCCACGATAAGGATCAGAAGGCCAATCAGACAGTGTTAGCATATTCATCAGAGGATTTGTGGAAAGGAAAAAAGGCCAACGAACATTTATGAGTTAAATTTTGCATTATTCCTATCACAATTATAAGAGTGCTATGCAAAAACTTCTGGAAATAAAACTCTTTTTATACCTTGAGGATTCAGTGTCCAGGGCATTCATAACATTAAAATAGTCTGACTATAGAAAGTTGTTAATAAATCCCTGAAGGTATATTCCACATTCTGGGAAACTGAACACATACAATAGCAAGCAGTGTAATTCTATCTGGTTCCAGTAATTGCACCAATTTGTTTGAAAGATAGAAATGTGCCTTTACTTTAAGAAAAACGAAATTGAACATCCATATCCAGTGCCTGTAGCCAACTAACTTTGTTCAGGGGAAGTTCTTTGCAAAATATGATATTGCCCAAATTTATCAGCACTGTCCACTTTGGTTTTGTAAATGCTCAGTCATTTTTTAAGTTTTTTCTTTTTCAGTTGAATTCCTTCCTCATTTGTTAATTTAGCAGACAGGCATTTATTTCACCCCAGAGAGTATTCTAAACATGATTACCTGTTTCTAGGACTATGATAAGAATAGACAATGGCTCTAATCTCAATGAATTTATGGTCTTCACATATGTAAATACATAAAGATCACAACAAGTAACAGAGGCCTTAGTAGAAAGAAATGCATAAAGAAGGTCCATCTTAGAAATAAGTATAGAGGAACCACTGAGAAATCCCATTACCTGCTCTGTACCAATTCCAGCTCAAGAAAAGCTGAGACTTGAAGGCAGTATGTTAAGATTACTCAATTACTTATTTACTTAATTAATTTTGGAAAATTTAGCAAATGTTGGAAACTACACAGTTGAAAAAGTTCAAAGTTAACCCAACCCACCTCCCATTTACTACAAGAAGTGGGCCAAAAATTGGCAGATGCATGGCCATTGCTGATTCAAAAGAGTAATTCTACCACTTAAGGAATGTGATCATTAAATCAGCTAATTGTAGTTATTTAATGAAAAAAAAGAGAAAAGGAAGGAAGGAAGGGAGGGAGGTAGAGAGTAAAGAAGGAAGGAAGAGAAAGAAAGAAAAAACAGGTGTTTGATATTATTGAATTCTTTAGGCCCAAAGTGCACGTAGACTTAATTTGGCAAGGTTGAACCGCCCGAAAATATTTGATAGAATCCATCTCAGTTCTTTTTTTTTTTTATCTCAATTCTTAATGTTGAAATGAAAAGTAGTTTTAAAAAGGAAAGGAGGAATTAAGCTAAAAATGTAGAAGAAAAATACCCAAAAGATTAAAAGATGTCTTATCTCTTATCACTAAACAAAAATGTGGTCTGAAATTCTGCAGTCTTTTCCAATCCTTGACTTTGTGAAGCCTTTCCTCCTGATGAAAAGATGTTGCCTTGTTCTAGACAACTCTTCTTGGAATGCCCATTGTACCCTTAGCTTTCTTTGTTAGTTCTTGCTGAGACTACTTTCCATGCCTGTCATTAAATATAGCTTCATCAGTCTAGTGAGAGTATCTATACCCACTCTTTTAAATGCTATCTTTATGACCATGGAATCTACTAGTAGGTACCTATCTGGGAAATAGACTGACCCCTTATTTTAAACATTTTATGGATATCTCCAACAGGATGTTCATGAGGCACATCCCTACCAATCTGTTTAAAAAAAAAAAATCATCCAACTCCTTGCTTCTGTATGTTTTGTAAAGGGCTTCTTTAATAAATCTTTGATAACAACCAATTTTATTTCCCCCTTCACTGATGTATTTTGAGAATATTAACCTTGCATTTTCCTCTGTTTTCCTTTCTCTCCAGAATTATGTAATCCAACATTGCTCTGCCTCTAACATGCTCCTTTCCTCTAGTGTACACTCTGGTCTTAGCGTATTAAATTGTCCATGACCACTTATCCTTCAGAGCCTCCCAGATGGTATTGTTAGACCGGTCTTTTGACACCACAATGAAGATTGCATGACTCTTATATTGAAAGGTATATAAAGACTACTTATAGGCTGTAAAATTTAATTCAATTTATTCACATAAGCGTTGCGTTTAAGCATCTTTTTCATGATACATATTGAAAAACTTTTTTTTTGAGTCCTGTGATGCCATATATTCTTGTTTATTCTAGTACATGTGTTCACTTTCTTTTTTTTTTTTTTTTCTTTACACACTCTCTCCAGATCATCCCCATTATTCTCATGACATTTAAGTCATTCATATGCCAGGAGTTCCAAATGTATATCTCTAGTCTGATTTCCTCTAGAAAGCATACATTTAATTGCCTATTTGTTATTTCTATTTCAATGTCTTACCAACATCTCAGAACTAACTTGTCCAAAAAGAACATTTTTCTGACATCTGAAATCTGTGTCCCTCCCCAGATATTTCTCATCACAGTACATACCACCACTTTCCCACTTGTTGAAATCAGGAATCCATATTTATTATTTGTTTCATTCTTCATTCTCATCCCCAAATGCAACTCATCAGCAGATTTATAGTTGTATCTTCTGTACCAATTTGCTTTAGATCATCACTTCTCCTGGCTTGAACTATGACATCTTTCTAACTCTATGTTTTCATTCTTATTACCTTCCACATTCTTCACAAGGCAGCCAGAGAAATCATATTTGGATCATGTCAACTTCTATTCATAATTCATTAATGGCTTCCACTGTATGTGGAGTACAATTCAAATTTCTCAACATGGTTTTAAAAGCCCTGCATGATGTAAGGAAATGGTCCAGTTTCCTTCTTCTGCATATTGCTGTCCAATTTTCCCAACACCATTTGTTGAAGAGACTGTCTTTTTTCCATTGGACATTCTTTCCTGCTTTGTCGAAGATTAGTTGACCATAGAGTTGAGGGTCCATTTCTGGGCTCTCTATTCTGTTCCACTGATCTATGTGTCTGTTTTTGTGCCAGTACCATACTGTCTTGATGACAGCTTTGTAATAGAGCTTGAGGTCCGGAATTGTGATGCTGCCAGCTTTGCTTTTCTTTTTCAACATTCCTCTGGCTATTTGGGGTCTTTTCTGGGCCCATACAAATTTTAAGATTATTTGCTCCATTTGTTTGAAAAAAGTTGATGGTATTTTGATGGGGATTGCATTGAATGTGTAGATCGCTCTAGGTAGCATTGACATCTTCACAATATTTGTTCTTCCAATCCATGAGCATGGAATGTTTTTCCATTTCTTTGTGTCTTCCTTAATTTCTTTCATGAGTATTTTATAGTTTTCTGAATACAGATTCTTTGCCTCTTTGGTTAGGTTTATTCCTAGGTATCATGATTTTGGGTGCAACTGTAAATGGAATCGACTCCTTAATTTCTCTGTCTTCTGTCTTGTTGTTGGTGTATAGGAATGCCACTGATTTCTGTGCATTGATTTTATCAACATCTGCAAATCAATCAATGTAATACAATACATTAATCAATGAAAGAACAAGAACCATATGATCCTCTCAATAGATGTAGAAAAAGCATTTGACAAAGTACAACATCCTTTCTTGATCAAAACTCTTCAGAGTATAGGGATAGAGGGGACATACCTCAATATCGTAAAACCCATCTATGAAAAACCCACAGCGAATATCATTCTCAATGGGGAAAAACTGAGAGCTTTCCCACTAAGGTCAGGAACACGGCAGGGATGTCCACTATCACCACTGCTATTCAAAATAGTATTAGAAGTCCTAGCCACAGCAATCAGACAACAAAAAAATAAAAGGCATCCAAATCGGCAAAGAAGAAGTCAAGCTCACTCTTTGCAGATGATATGATAATTAATGTGGAAAACCCAAAAGACTCCACCCCAAAACTGCTAGAACTCATACAGGAATTCAGTTAAGAGGCAGGACATAAAATCAATGCACAAAAATCAGTGGCATTCTTATACACCAACAACAAGACAGAGGAATGAAATCTTGCCATTTGCAACCATATGGATGGAACTGGAGGGTGTTATGCTGAGCAAAATAAGTCGATCAGAGAAAGACATGTATCACATGACCTCATTGATATGAGGAATTCTTAATCTCAGGAAATAAACTGAGGGTTGCTGGAGTGGTGGGGAGTGGGAGGGATGGGATGGCTGGGTGATAGACATTGGGGAGTGTATGTGCTATGGTGAGCGCTGTGAATTGTGCAAGACTGTTGAATCACAGATCTGTACCTCTGAAACAAATAATACATTATATGTTAAAAAAAAAAGAAGAAGAAGAAGATAGCAGGAGGGGAAGAATGAAGGGGGGAAATCAGAGGGGAAGATGAACCACGAGAGATGGACTCTGAAAAACAAACTGAGGGTTCTAGAGGGGAGTGTGGTGGGAGGATGGGTTAGCCTGGTTATGGGTATTAAAGAGGGCACATTCTGCATGGAGCACTGGGTGTTATGCACAAACAATGAATCATGGAATGCTACATCAAAAACTAATGATGTAATGTATGGTGATTAACATAACATAATAATAATAATAATAATAATAATAATAATAATAATAATAAAAAGCCCTGCATGATCTTGGTCCTGCTTACCTCTTTTGTTTCATCTCATGCATCTCACCTACTGCCCTAATCCCCTCTACTCTACCATGCTTTCATGATCCAAGAATTTTGCATACATTTGCCTCTGCATAGAGTTCTGTTTTACCCATAATCCCAAGCTAAGTCTTTCTCTTCCTTCAGCTCTTACCATAAATATCTCATTATCAGAGAAATCTTCCCTGAAAATGTAAATAAGATAGGCAACCTTTCTTGGTATCTCTTTTTTGATCCCAATTGGTTCCCTTTTTACCCTTTATTGCGATTTATACTTATTTAATGTATTTATGTATTTATTTACTTGCTTTATTTCCCTACTACATATAAAGTCCTTGAGAGCATGTATTTGATCAGCTTGGAAGTCTAGGTGGAACCTGATATGGTACATGGCACAACATGGTAGATATTCAGAAACATCTAATAAATAGATGAAAAAACTCTATGTATCATCTCCCTTGTCTGCTTGATATTTTTTAGCGTATCTAAACATATTTTACTTCTAGTGTACTGGTTTTACTCTTCTTGTTTCCTTTGAAATCTCATTATACTTTCAAAGCTCCAAAGTAATGGAGCTTTCCTGAAAGCCACGGTCCTTTTCCCAAAGCACCAATTAACCAATTAGTTATAAAAGTAAATCTTTCAACAAATGGAATATAATTTATTTCTCTGAAATCTCACAGCACTTGGGGAAAGGGGTCATGTCCCACGGAATTCTCATATTACTGTGGGTGTAGGAATTGTGTCCGACAAATGTTATCTTTTTATCTTATACCAGAATGCTGCACTGTTCAACATTTGCTGAAGGGGAGTTTCTGATACACACACACACACACATGCACACACAAACATTTGTATTAAAAAATTCTAACTTATAATAGTTAACTACTAACCTGTTAATGTGTTATGCTGGCTGTGGATGAGGCATACAGTACATTTGAAACTCTTAAGATGTGATATTATTGGTTTTGTTTATAAGTAGCAAAAGAAATCATGAATAATTATGCTTCTGAAGTTTTTCATGAGTATGTATAAAAGCATAATTTATAGATACTAGAGACTCTAGACTGGAAAAAAATCTGCTCCTGCAGGATTCCTGGGATTAAACCCATGTTAATTGTAAGTGCATTGAATATCTATGGACCAGTGTTATGTTTGTATGAGTTGTATCTTTTTAAGGGACCGAATTAAAGACAAATCCAGAACACATAGTCATCCATAAGTAACTGCTCACTTGCTTCCCATCTTTACTGCAATCCAGTATAACACGAACCTAGAAAGTGGTAGGGATCCTGATTTGAGGTTAACTTAAAACATGAACATTAATATAATTCATCTTTTTTTCTGCTATTTTTTCTGTGATGTAAACATGTTTTATTGTCTTCTGAAAAACAGAGCACTCCTAAAACCACCAAACACAGAGAACAGGTGGATTTAGCTCATGAAGTAGTATGGTGCTTAATAACATAGATCTAGTAAAAGTACTTTCTTCTATACAGAAAGTGTTTTGGAAACAGAGCTAAGAAATTTTTGAAATATAAATCATTATTTTACTAGGATCTACATGTATCATTAGTTGGAGGGAACATATTTTTAGTTATTTCTACACAAATATATTCTAGCCAACTGTTATGGTAAACTAAAATTTCTGAGGGATGTGATAAGTCAAAGAGTGACCACTTTTTTATGAGCTATATTCAGCAATGTCTGCTTAAAAAGCAGAACATCTTAAAAGATCCTATCCTGTGATCTCAGTATGCAGATTATGTTTCTCCTTCATCCAAGGCTAATAACTACAACCCTTCATTACATAAGGTAAAGTAAATCCATGATTCAACAATTTGATCCAAAAATCGGGATAAAGTCTTAACTATCACTAATTTGCAAGTCTACTATCTGATTTAATTGCATGTTACTTTATCTTATTCTGTTTACTCATTAGGACTTTCTTTTTTCAATGCATATAGTGATTACTAATTATATATAACCTGTTGACTTCTAGTCACTTAAATTCTTTATTAGTGTTATTTTTTTGCAATCTAGTTTTTTGTCGTTATTAATTCTTTTACCCCTTATGATTGTTTTTGTGTTTTGTTTATAAGCATCACTAGAAAACATGAATAATTAAGCTTCTCATGTTTTCCATTGGGTGTACTTAAAAGCATAATCTAGAGTCATTAGAGAGAGTCAGCTGAAAGAAATATAACAAATATATTGTTTCTGTTTTGTAACAATTGGGCAACGTGATTATTTCTCTACCTCTGTTTCTTCTACAAATGTTTTTCTAAGTATCAGAATTCTATATCTGTCTCTCTAGGTCACACCTATGGTTGGAAGCTAAGTGAGAAATCAATTGTGAAAGAAGTCCAAATATTCAGCAGGAAAGATGAAACTCTAATATTTGAAAGAGTCCAGAAGACAAGTAGCTTTTCTGATATTTTTTATTGATTTAATAGTTCTGATATTATCATTTTTATGATATCCTTATATTTGTTTAAGGCTTCAATACTCTTCGGTAAATTTGTTTTCAGGAATTTATCAATATTGCCTTTTTATAATCATAGCAGCTTTGTGTGCCTTTACCATCTTCCCAACACTCTTCACTTCATTTTGGTCAAGGCTGCTAAAACATCAGATATATTGCTTTTTTAAGCAATCTGTCTTCTATCTACAGTTTTCAGAATTAACTTATTAATCTAGTGCAAGAGAGAGATGGCTTCCTGCAAGAAGAATGTGCAGGTTGAACATCTGCTGTGGGGAGAGGCAAGGGTCTGAACTTTGTGACTGTCTCAGGATGACTGTACAAGGGGTCAGGGGTCAGAGGGAGCAGCATCATTCACCCTCATTGCTAATCTGCTGAACATGGATCTGGGAGCTGGGAGATCAGAATGCAGAGAGATGGTTCATGCATGTGGGAACTCATAGTTTTGCCTTCAGTTAAGGGATCCGGAATTTAAAACCAGGTCATTTATATATTGTACAGAACACTAAATGTTTTGATTTTACAGATGGAAGGCAGAACTGAGATTAATGAGAGCACAACACTTGAATTTAGATCGAGTTTTTAATTCCATTTCAATTCCTGATTGGTAAAAGACCCTCAGTTTACTAATCTGTAAAATGTAGATAATAATAGCTTTCTACACGGCTATTGGTAATAAATGAAGTGATAATAACTAACTGCTTATCATAAATATAGTACAGAGAAAGCTCTTATAAAAGTTACTCCATTGTTATTTTGATGTAGAGATATTAGGTATTGCTGCGGTAAGGATGTACTTTGTTTTTTTTTCCTTCCTCAAGCTACTGTACTCAAACAGTCTCATATTGCAGACTATTTAGTAAAGAGGCTGGTAAGATGTCATTTTTACTTTGCAATACTTTTCTTCTGAATATTCCACGTGTGGAAATAATAGCTAAATGCAGACAAATAGGCATTGGGTCTTTGGCTACTTTGGATTTTCTATCAGTTACTGTCAAAATAAGAAACAGATGGCACACCAGAAAGAGGAGTGTTAGGTACAAAGAAACCACATAAGAAAGTGCCATAATCCACGTCCAGAAGGAATGCAGGTATTATTAGCACCTAGAATCCCAAAGAAATGAAGGAAGGGACCCTAACTGGAGACATCATCTTGCAGAGATTCCTGGCTTGAAGAAAGAGAGCCAAAATGAAAAAGTACACCATTCTCTACCATACAGTCCAGTTCTGGTACCCCTTGGTATTTACCCAAATGAGTTGGGAACTTATGTCCACACAAAACCTGTTCACGGAACTTTACAGCAGCTTTATTCATAATTGTGAAACTTGGAAGCCACCAAGATGTTCTTCAATAGGTTGATGGATAAATAATTATAGCC